TTCATCAGAGGGTTATTCAATAACAGAGAATCAGTAAAAGTGCAAATGCAACAGCAGAGATTAAAGATGGATTGCTCCGTGATTGCACAAACCATCAGGCTGTTTGAGCTGCATTCTAGCCAGTTATTGAAATGGTGAAAATGCATCTTTACTGCTTTCAAAAGTTAAATGTGCAAGAAAATAGCCACTTCCAGGTTTGTGTACCTGTGATAAAGGCAAGTGGCAATGACATTAAATGATCTATACACTAAGAATTATCTAAGCATAATCCAATAAAGGGAGCAGCTTCAGTAATTTTAATGTCTGAGGGTCACACAGAGTGTGGAAGGCGCTGTACTGTGCACTTTGATGCAAATGGCCCAGAGAGGTGGAGAGGCTGTTGAATCTGTCTATTAAATTATCTCTAACTTGTCATCACCACCACAGTTTTCACCCCTTTTACATATTTTTATCACTAAATGGTTAGAGCCATCAGTGTGAGTTGGCACCGCAGATGGCTGCTGCGATTCTGTACCGGAAACAAATTCCTTGTGTGTGTAACATAGTTGGTTATCCTTATGCTATGAACTGTTTGCATGATCTGCATTTTAACTGACAACACAGAGGAAGATTAATTTATCAGCACGTGAGCAGCAGGCTGCAGATCAATGGATGAGCATATTGATCATTTAGCGGAAGGTGGGACAGGTGCACACCGTTAAACAGCTGCAGCAGAGGTGACTTGCCCAGCATATAAACACAGTCATTAAACACAGTGCTGATGAGGCCTCACCCCTCAGCCAGATATATTTACCATGGCAGCTTCATGTTAATGAACTGTTGCAGTAGCAATTATTAACAGGACGCGGTGAAGAAGCGACAATGAAATAAAATTGTAGAAACAAACTAATATAAATAAATTGGTGTCAGTGGACACTGTGACAAAAATAATGAGTAGGACTGGGGGGTTTAAACAAAAAATGCAGTTTGAAATACAAGAAATGAGAGGTGCATTATACTATGAAGTGTGTGTGAAGTGTGCTCATATTGTCATCAATGAGTCTGCAAAGGCCATACATATAAAGGTGGATGTGTCAATATACGCACAAAATTCTTGACAGGCGCATACTGAATGTACAGGCTGAACATGCAGATATGGATATTTGCAGCATTACCTGATCAGTTTATCAAAAACCTTGAGTTGTCAATAGTGCAGAGGAAGCAGGAGGAAAAACAATTGACAGTGATAAAACCTCAGTAGCTATTCTGAATCCAAGCTTTACCCAGTATAATGGCAGCTAATTCTGTTAGGAAATTGCTTCCACCATATGTCACCCACTAGAGGGAGATAAGCACATCTTAAATGCTTGTTAGTCACAAAAAAACACAGACATACAATAGAGAGAGTGCCAGAGAGGGCCTACTATTGTTTTGTTAATGTTGTTTCTTTTAAAATGTCTTATTGTAAGCTCTCATCAGATTGTCATTATTTTCATTTCATGATTTAGGATCATCAATAGGACAGTAAATAAGAGAGTGGCTGCTCTGAACTATTTTGAAGCAACTTGTTTCACAGTCAGTCTCCTGTTCCCTTGTCGTAGTATTGATTTCAGTGAGAGGCCACCAAAAGAGAGGGGGAGACAGGATTGCCAAGTGTATGTGGATGTATTAATCATGTCAAGGGGACTTTTTTTTTTTGTTCAGGTTTAGGCTGTGGGTTAGAGTAAAGATTGGGCTTAGTGGGTTAAGGTTAGGTGTTAGTCTGCAGAGAGTCCATGCTATGTGCATACTGTACTGTATTTGTGTGTGGAGAGTCATAAATGCTGCATGCTACTGTGAATGTTTAAATGTGTGTCCATTAGTGTGCAATAAAAAACTGTATGTGAGAAATCCCAGTTCCCCTAACTGCATCCACTTTTCCCTCACTTGTCTTTTCCTTGCATGTTAGTCCCGCCCACATAAGATGCAAGGGAAAAGATAACAAGGAGAAACTGCAAGGAGAGAGGAACTGAGGAAACATGGTTAAACTTGTATGAGACATCCTTTCCTTTGTTCCTTTATGTGAAGCGTCCGATCACAAACTAATTTCCCATAAAGGGGCATGTCAATCTGTAGCAGACTTCTGTGAAGGATGCACTCATGTATCCTTGGTTATAGCTCATCCAGGCAGCCTCCTCACTCCTTGGAGCATATATAAGAGCTATGGGACGCCCTTCATCATGGTGGACCGGAACAACTTCCAGGTCGAGTGAAGATTGAGGACAGAGGAATGATAAAATTAGGGAAAAGATATTCACCTATGGTATATTTTACATTTTATCTTATTTACTGATTAGGAGTGTAACAGTGCATCGTAATTCAAAAATGTGACAATATGCATCGTGAAACTGACAAATGGATTGCAATATCAAGTCGAGACTCCCATGTAATGTATTTATTCTAACAAGCAATAGGCTGGATCTGTTTTTTTGGCTGACCTGGTGTTGACCCTGACATTCGCTGGGGTTGGCTACACTAGCCAAAAGCCACACATTACATTAACCACACTCTAATCTAATTACTTGTTACTAGTATAATCATGCACTTTGATGCAAATGGCCCAGAGAGAAAAACAACATAAAAACTCAAACATCCTTGGTGGCATTACGAAACATGTATCGATACTTTTGATGTGCAAATTTCAACAAAAGTCAGAAGACAATGTTTAGAATGGCTGAAGGATGCAGATAAGCTGGTAAATATTATTATTCTTTGAAAATTAACTTTAAAATCTGTAATGTAATGCACATCATTTGTATTATGAACATTCAAACCATGTCCTAAATGATATCAAGTAACCTAATGACAAATGAAAAAATGATAAACTACTGAATCCAGTTTTTAGCAGCAACTTGTCTCTTGCCTGCAGCTCAAACTACAGTGTGTAGTTTGTATCTGCTACATCAGACACTGTGTTGAGAATGTTCAGCATGGATGTATAGTTATGCATCCATTTCTAACATCTCTCGGATCATTGGATGCCCACAGTGACTTTGGATCCCCAACATGAAACTGAAGCCTTCAGCGCTTGTGCACACCGACAGGTTTTTGGAGGATTTAACATAAATGAAAAGCGTCTTTCCTTTATATATTTTAGGTGCAGTTTGGCTGACTTAAAGTTTCAGGGATCATTGCCCAGTGCCAATCTAAAATTTAGTTGCATCACAACGCTTAGATGACTGTGTTGTTCAGAATCTAAAAATAAGATGAGGTACAAATTTGAAAACTCCTGTTAGTCAAAGTGTGTCTGTTGATATTTCCTTTCATAGATACTGAAAAACATGCTGATAATACAAAGTCACTGATGACTCCTTCCCTGTTTGGTTTCATTCTATATTCACCACCCCAGGATATGTCCTTCATATATCTGCCTCAGCTGTTAAATCTATCTTGATTAAATACATCGAAGGCTGGCGCTTTTAAGAAACTTGGCCACGTACGGTGCTCCCTATCAAAGACATTAACCCTAAACTATTCCACTGCTGTTGCAGCTAAAATTTGGTTATGTCACTGAAAGGAATTTGGCAGATGCCCTCTCATAGTGGGGGCTAATCACTTTATAAGAGAACTATGAGGCAGCACCTTTGTGGAACTCACATGTAGTACAGAGTAAGTACAGCTTCCCATACATGTGATTTGATTTGGATTTCAACATGTGACATGACCGGGAACACAAACACTTGATAAGTATTCTAGACACATACCAACCAAGGATGCCTGCCCTTCTACAGCCTGCAATACTTTCTAAAAGTTCACTGCTCAGTCCCACGCAAGGAGCAGAACACAGACAGAACTGTGCCACACACCCTTGCGCATTAGGCAAATCTCTTGATAAGTTTATACACTACAATCAGGCCTTAAGCCGTGACGCCTGGCAAGGATTACCAAGGGCTTACAATTTGTTCACCCCACTGGGATTCCATCACATGGTGAATCAGATCTCTGCGACAGGGGACCAGTATGCAGCACTCCCTCATGGCCGCAAACACTAGAGTGGCATATCTGACAAAGATGCTAAGTCTGTCTGACAGCTGAAACACAAACGGTTTGATTACAGTGTGACTGTTAAACTGAAGCTACAGGGTTTGATGTCACAGTGCTGTGCCATGAAGATTCCTTCTGGAGGGTAGAAAGCAAAGCAATTAGCTTTCTGGAAGAAATTAAGATGGTTTGGCCAAGAGTAACTGGTTACAATCCAGTTCATTAGTGATGCAATGTTGTACAAAGAGCTTGAATTTGTTCAACGGACAACTGTGGGATTTCAATTCCTATTTAAATATAGACTTTGGTGTCTGAAAAATAAAAGTGTCAGTTTTAACCAGAAAAGAAAAACTTTCCCAAACAGCCTATAAATTATAATAAAGAGGCTATAAAGGTCAATTATTCAGCATAGCAGAAACCGTGCATTGCAGACCTTTGGCAGATTAAGTTGCTTTGGAACCTTGAAAAATTTCAAAAGTAATGTCATGAAGGAAAAATTATAAATCCCTTCTTCTCCATTTGTTGCATTAAACACTGGAGACCATCTGTTGGATTGGACTGCATGGTGGCAGCTGCTACCCAAAGATGCCACAGCCTGTCCACAGCTTCGTGTTGTATGCAGAAACATTCTAAAAATATTTCTCTTGGCTCTGTTTATAGGCTCAACTACTCAACTTAGTTATGGCAGACAGACCAGCACACTGAGCAGAGATTAAGTTAAAAGGTCATTAATCAAAATAAGCCAACTCTGAACAAAAGGCACTTTGGTTGGGCATCCAGATAGGATTACTGAGCATTATCACAACATTTCAGAAAAAAACGCCATCTCATCCTGTGTATCTAATATGTCAATCCCCTCTCCCAACCCCTCCCTCCACTCTGAAACCTCCTCCAGGCAGTAAGTGACTGAGATGGGCATTCGTCTAGGCTGCCTGAGGGAGTCCCTGT